TGTGACACAATTTAGGTCATAATTTACCAAAAGAACAACAAAATTCTATAGTTTCAAACCCCGAATAAATGTAGAAAATACACTTATCAATCTCATTTTCATCAAAAATCTCATTTTTTTACCCAAGTTTCTACTTTTGGATGCTGATTGATATTTTTTTCATGGTAAATATTTTCAAAAGTTGGTGACGTGACATTGTTTTCTACAAAAACTTGGAAAACATTTTCTTTATAGGGGATATGTTTATATTTTCTAATCAATTTATACTTCCCAAAAACTCAACTTTATGAAAAAGTAAAATATCTTCTAGGTTGAAAATTAAGCTCCCATTTTACCCTCATTATTTCCCATTAAATTATAATTTATTTTTCACCATCTTTTTATCAACCATACATTTTCCAATAAAATAATGTTACACATAAATTCAAAAACTTTTCCTTCTTTTTTGACTATACATTTTTCAAAAAATAATTATTCCTCTCATTATAATGTGGAATAATGGGGGGGCTAAACGGGCGCTAAGTTGATTGAACGTTGATAATTTTCATGTAAATAAGTTTCAGAAAATTTAATTGCCTAGAATTTATTTTCTTACCGTACAAGTTTTATGTTTGTCATCAAACACACCCTAAATGTTGTTTAATAAATATAAATTCCACCTAAAATTGTGTTTATTAAATTTAATAAATAGTTCAATAATATTCTCTTCTCCCTTTTCAGCCATCAAAGATTCACACAACCAACAATAATAATAATAATAATTAAGTCAAACAGTCCTAATTGGTCATTAAATTTTTAATCAAGTCAAGTTCAATTTTCTTATCATTTTCAAAGGTCATCCCAATATATTTATAATTAGTTTGACATTTGAAGGTTCATGCAACAATTCAACTAAGCCCTATTTAATAGGCAAAATTTTACACGGAAGATGGAAATTATCCCACTATTTTTCACTTTTTAGCACAATTGATAGGAAATATTTCCTTGACAATTGTTTTTCTCATTTTCGGTTACGTGACCCCTTATTCCTAAAAATTGAGGAATTGAAATTCCTATGAGTGAGCTGATTTTTTGTTTTCTTGGCAATTGAATAAATCCATACTTTCCCTTTCTGTTTCTTCTCACACCAAACCCCGTCATTTCCTTCTCCCTTTCTTCTCACGCCACTCCCGTATTCCCATTTCTCACCCTCTCCACCCTATTTTTGGAATAGCCACAAAATCGACCAAAAAAATCTCCACATAATACAATTTTCATGGAAAATAAAGTCAATCAAATATCAAAAGATGAAAAATTATATCAATCAAACACAATTAATTGACAATTCCCAATAAAATAAGTTATATGCAATTTCTTTCCACCCAAATTTCGTTATTGCAATCAAACGGATCATAAATTCAATTATATGCACCATGATTGGCTAAGTTTAAAAGTAACTTAAAATACTTTAATTATTTTTTATTGTTTATCAGTTTTACCTCAACATATTGAAAATGTGGCAAGTTAATCTATTATTTTGTTGGTTGTAGTTCCCAAACTTTTCTTTTTAGCACTCGAGTCCCCAATAGATAAATTTATCCTTATCATTGATTAAAATCCCAAATATTTTTATTAGAAAGATGATTTTACTCTTAATTAAATGAAAAAGAAAGTGGTAAAATCATTAATTGGGCTTCCAAATGTTATAAAAAGAAACTTTGGGGACTGAGTTTTTCGAAATATAAGTTGTTGATCTACTTGTTACATTTTTAATATATTTGTACCCTATCTGTATTTTTTTTTCCAGTTCTTATATCGACCAAAAAAATCGTATTTTTAGACCCTATTTGGTTTTGCTAAAATTAATAGTTTTAGAATATTTAGATAAAAATTGACGAAAATTATAATTGATAAAAGTTGTG